AAGCAGAGAAATCAGTGGGACACCAGGGAAGGATCTGTTGGAAGAATAACCACAGAATAATATTTTATCTGCATTTTACATTCCAAGTTTTAAAAATACTTCCTAGGAATTTTTGAGTTTCATAATAGTTGCCTTGATGGACATTGCTGTAACCGCAGCATCCATTGTACCCGCCCAACTGCTGTAAGAGAGCATAGGTTTGAGCAGGGAACCCCCGGGCTCGCGGGGATCCCTGATTGGGAGCCTCCTCTCCTTGTGCGCTGATTGGGTGCAGGAGCTCAGCCCCAGGGGACATTCAGTGGGTGAGGGGCCCAGATGCCTGAGGAAGTTCTGTGGAGACCTCGGGAAACTTGCCTTGTTTTCAATGAAGAGCCATTCCTCTGTGTGTCGTTGCACACAGACAGAAGGCCTAGACTAGAGGCAGCTCCATTGCTACCAGCCCGAGACTAAAGCTCCCACAAGGAGGGAGGAGGGAGGAAGGCAGAGCTGAAAACGGGAGGAATGGAGTGGGGCTTCTGGACCTGGAGCACCTGCCACTGGACCTTGCTGTTTAAGCCATTTTTATTATTGTATTTGAGTTGTTTCATTTTCAAAGAAGGAACTTGTAATGGGAGTGAATGAATGAATACATAAACCAAATTGATACTGTAACTAGCTATATGTTATTTGGTAGCTCTGCAGTATAATATTTTTTAAAAACTTCCAGCATATCTTCTAGCCCTGCTGGGGGAAGCTCAGTTGGTTAGAGCCTTGTCTGGCACGCAAGGGTTGCAGGTTTGATCCCCAGTCAGGGCATGTGCAGGAGCTGACCGATGAGTGCAAAAGTAAGTGGAACAAATCGATGTCTGTCTCCCTTGCTCCCTCCCGCCCCCGTCCTCTAAAATCAATCAATAAAAAAATTTAAAAACCTTAAAGTGTATCTTCTAATGTTTTGCGAGGAGGACAGGAAATGGGTAGGAAACGATTTTAGGATTGTAAGGCATTAGGAGGAGTGAGGACAAGATTAGTTCTGATGGAGATCGGACATGAAATTAAATGTTTATTTTTTATACTTCTGTGAGAGCATTTTTACTAGTGACACAATACATAAGTTTTTGTGTAAAATTGTAAGACTAGGAGGAAACTAAATGAATTAACAAGTGTGTTAAGAAACTCCTTACTAGGAAAATTACCCACTGTTCTCAAACACAGAGGGAAGAGAACTGCCCGCCCACCCCCCATGTGTGCGGTGCCGGCTGCGGTAGCTGTCCGCGGGCCCTGCTGTTCCGCCGTGCCCCTCACCGCTGGAGAACTTAGAGCGCGTCCGGGCATCACATTTTACCCAAAAATATCTCAGTGTGCATCACTAAGATTTAAATGGCTTTAATGAGGCATCGCTGGCATACAATAAATGGCACATATTTAAAGTATACAGTTTGATAAGTTTGGACATAGTTCCATGAAACCAGCACCATAGTCAAGATAGTGGGCATATCCACCCACCCCCAAAAGTTTTCAGGTCTCTTCATAATGCTGCTGCTTCTCACCCCTCACCCACTTGCCCCAGGCAGCCGCCGAAGTGCTTTCTGCCCTGGGTGCCTGTTTGCATTTTCTGTAAATGGAATTATGTGTGGTATGGGCCTCTTTGTGTGGTTTCTTTCACTCAGCGTAATTATTTTGAGGTTCATCCATGTTGTAGTATATATATCAATAGTTCATTTATTTTTATTGCTGAGCAAGAACTTTTAAAAAAGATAACTGCAATATTATTACCATACCCCAAAGTAAATTAAAAATGGTTCCTATTATCATCTAACATCAAGTCAGGTCTTAAATGTCCCCATTGTCCCATAAGTAAGCGTGCTTTTATTATTGATCCGTCTGCATGAGGACACAAACATGCTCACAGAGTGGCACTTAGCTCTTCACACCTCTCCTGCTTGCATCTGCTCTAAGGGTTAGTTCATCACCTTTAATACTGATTTTACTCTGATGGCGGGTAATTGTGTAGAAAGGTCACGGGAGGAGACATTTTCCCTGCCTACCGCATCCTAACATAGCTGTTCCTTTTTGTGTGCCCTTAGTTCTTGACCTTATGCAGAATGAGAGTTAATGTTTTAAGGATGGCGAGAATTATCAGACGTTGGCAGTCTTAATCCAGTTCCCTACAAGGAGTGCCTGTGTCTCCAGGAAGGCCGGCGGTGCTGCTGCTGACCCCGGCGCAGATCCGGGCAGAGCGTGGCGCTTCCTGTTTTCCTCTGCGGAGGCCAGCTCTGGAATTCCCCTCCCTTGCCCACGATTTCAGTCTCGCCTCTCTGCCCTAGTCCTCACGCAGCACACCAGAGAGTGTGCTGGTCTAACTGTCTGCGTGTGCCTGGAAAAGAGCACCATTTTGTATTTTAAAATATGTAATCGTACTTAGCGTCTAGGCTTTGGGTTTGCTAAAAGAATGTTACAACACGTCTGGGGAACACAGCCTGTCTGGATCCCATCCTTTTGACCTTCTCTCTCACCTTATAACACTGTCCTTTATCTTTCTTTACCTTCAGTGTCACCTCTCTTACTGGATCTGCCTTGTCAGAAATCAGGCATAATCAAGTCTTCCTCACCTCCAAGGGAACAAATTCAGTCTGACCTCATTTCCTCTTGTCCCTTCAGCCCCGCTGTCTGTCTTCCCCTGGCCAGAAAGTCAGGCCTTCCTCTGGGCTCTCTGTCTGCTCTCTCCAGTTCCACACCCACTGGACACTCCTCAGCCGTCTGCTGTCTGCGCACCTGTCGCTCCCCCGACAGACGCTGCGCTCGCCGCAGTGTTTGCGGTGCGTGGCTGCATCCAGTGGGCACGTCTCAGTGTGCGGTTGCGCTCACCAGCTGTGTTGCCTTGTTTCTCCTTCACACTTTGAAGGAGACACACCTGAGTCTCCTCCTGACTTCAGGGTGTTTCTTTTGGCCTCCTTTAATGGTTCATTTTCCTCCACTGGACCTCGAATGGGTTCCTCTCTGCACTTCCTAGGAAGCCTCCTGCACTAACAGCTGTGTTGTGCCAGTGGCACTCAGTTTCCAGCCCCCAGGTTGGCCTCCTTCGGAGCCCCATTTCCATATGTCCAGCTGGCCCTCATGTCAGCTTCCCTTGGCCACCTCACAGACTCCTCAGTTCAGGGTCTCAGACCAAGTCCTGTGCCTCCTGAGTCTCGTCCTCTTCCGGGATTACCTGACCCAGTGAATTGTACACATGCTCCTCAGATCTGAAATCTATGCCCCTCTCTCAACTTCTCTTTCCCTTAACTCCCAAATCCAGCCTGCAATCCAGTGCTGTTGGTTTCAACCACTGAAGGACTGTTGAATCTCTCCACTTCTCCCCATCTCTACTGTTAGTTGAACCTAGTCTCCTTCCCCCAGCATTGTACGAAACCCCTGCTTTGGCCCTGCCACCCTGCTTGCTGCCTGGCGCTACCCGAGTAGCTTCTGAAAGCATCCCTGCTCTAGGGGCTGCGCTCCGTTGCCTTCTGGAAGGAAGGACCGAAGCCTTCCACTTCTGTACCTTAAATCAAGGTGAGACTAGAGGGCGCAAAAAACCCCCCAATGCGAAAGGGAAAATGTGACTGCCAACTCAGTGAAGTTCAAGTTTAAAAATATTTTCAGATTTAGAAATTAATTACCTAACAACCATTATGATACAAGTTGAGGTCTTTCTGTCCTTTGCTTTTCAGTGTGAGCAGTCTGTTTTGAATCAGTTTAGTCATCTGCCCTTGAACATCCTCAGTGCTGAGAATGTTACCTTATTTATGAATGTGTATTAATACCCCTGTTTCACAAGCATATTGGCTCACAATCGTGTCCATTCATTCAAACAGTTTGGGGCGAGGCAGGTGGTGGCTGGCGTACGCCACGGTGGCTCTTCTTTGCACGCACTTCCTGCGGGAGCTCAGCGGTCAGGACAGACCACTTAGCATGGAGATGTGGGCTGAGTGGAGCCTTCCGCTTAGCCCGACACCCTCTTCCAGAGGGAATGATGCTCGTGTGTCTTCACAGGGCAGGGGGTGATCGGGCTCCCAGTGGCCTGGGAGTAGACCTTACTCTTTGAAATATGCCCTTGCCCGCTGGCGAGGGGCCTCGGCCTCGGCCTTGGCCTGAGCCAGGTGGCCGCCTCGGCATGTCAGGAAGGCTTTGGGCAGAGTGCAGCCTGGCAATCACCAGTGTGGGATTGGGATTCTGCAGCAATCAAGGCTACAGGGCAATAAACAGTGCATACAGGCTTCTGAAATGAGTGCGTGAACGGTTTGCTTTTGCGGCTTTGAAGAAAATCACATGCTAATCCTCAGAAGCTGTCACTTGGGTCTGTCTTGATAAGTTTTTAGGGTTTATCAGGATCATACCAACATTTCAAGAGATACAGACATAAAATATTATGTTGAAAGGCAGCCTAATCCAACAAGTCCATACATAACTTGCCTTAGCTTTGAGGCAAACTGCGGTTTCAGGAGGATGCTGATGCAAGGGAAGTGAACAGGCTGAGCGAGCTGCTAGAGCCCTGAGCTGCGGGCCAGGGGCCCCTCCGTCAGATCACAGCGTCTGAGGCATCCTCTGAGGTGTCCTGGAGAACTGGGGCTGCCTTGCTGTCCCTGAACAGCTGTACCCAGCACGAGTACAGAACGGGTGTGCTCACCTCACGATGCATTCTTTCCTGATAATAATGGTTAATAACTGGACATTTGTCTTGTTTTTTAAAAAAATAAATAAAACTGAAATGGTTATTATACTAATATGATAATGGCCAAAGCTAGACCAAATCATCTATTTTAAGTTCTAAAGAACCTGTTATTTTGCTTTGCCATTTTTTGTGCATATATCCTTTTGGGGATTTTGTCACAGGAAGTACTGCAGCAGTCCAAGATTCAGGTATTTTTGTGTCCTAGGAAAATTTATTTTATTATTGAACAAAGTCATCTATAGTATGTACATCCATCAGAAGAAGTTTTTTGTTAACAACATCATTTTCTCAACACATTGTTCTCATGTTTTAGAAACGACGTCGTCGGATTGACCGAAGTATGATTGGAGAGCCAACAAACTTTGTACACACAGCGCATGTAGGATCGGGAGACCTGTTCAGCGGAATGAATTCAGTAAGTGTGTCGGCAAGACCTGCAGAGGGCCTCGGGCATAGTTACATGGAACCCGTGTCACAGCTGTGTGCGTGTTTGATGCTATGCAATGTTAGATGAGTCTACACATCGTATATAAATACGAGGGGACCTTGAAATATTGATCACCCATCTAATTGGCTGAGTTACGTATGTGTTTCTATTTCTGGTACTAAACTCGCCATAGCTACCTTTCTCCTGAATACATAACTTCAAACTTTAAGGGATTTGGCAGTAAACTAGGCAGAACCAGAGTGTAAAAGATCTCTTGGCTATCTTTTACAGAAATTTCAGTGAATTTCAGAATAGACTTTAGATTTAATCAGCTGAAGTCTTTTATTCCTTGATTTTACCTAAGAATGGAGTTCAGTCTAATAGAAGTGCCACAAGGGGAGGGTGTTCCCTGAAATAAGCCATGAAGTACAGAGGGCCTCTTTCCCCTGTATCTTCAGTGGCCAGATGTCTAAATGGTTGCTCAGTGTTGGGAACCAGAAAGTCAGTGAGCTTTAATAAACACAAAATTATGATTCATCGTATATGCTCACTTACTGGGCACCGTTAACAAAAGATTTAACAAGAGAACGGACTTCTCAAATAGGCGAGTATCCTGGATACAGCAAACAGTTTGTCAGTTCAGTTATTGGGTAAGCAAAGGAATGACATCTGCATCTTCTGTGAAAGGAAACAGCTTGTTTGTTTTAAATCTGTAGGAAAAGTACTTTGTTTCACTCAGCTGCTTTCTGTGGAAATGTAGGTTGCTAAGTATGATGCAGTAGCTTTGTTTCTTAGATCAACATGGTCAGAAAAGGCTAAGTGTGACCCTATGACTTGTTAGTATAGTTATTAACACAGTTTCAAACTTACTAGAAATGATAAATTTTAATACCTTCTCAACCAATGTCTTCTTCCTCACTTAAGGTTTTTGAAAACTCTTTATAGTACAAACTGTTTAGTTCATGGTATTTGCTTTTCAAGTCCTGTTAATGCACAGTTCAGAATTTCCTTTGAGTTTCTCACCTGGCATTTCGTGTCCGTGGAAAGCCTGCCACCGCCGTGCGGAGCTCTGTCCCTTGCCGCCTGTGTCAGTAGGACTCGGTCTGTCCCTTGCGGGGCTCCCTGTCCAGCTGAGGCAGAGGCTGGTCAGTGGGCCCTCTGCGGGCTGCACCTGCAGTCTCCACACAGCATTCTCTGCCTACTGAGGTAGAATTTTTATGCTGTTTAGAACTAAATAAGCTTTTCGTAGTCATTGCTTACAGTAGTTGGTCTATCAGTCGCCTGCCGTCTGTAAAGCCACAGGCATCGCGCCCCTTGGCCCCGGCTCTGAGTTCTTGTTAGGCTGGGTGTTGTGAAATCTCGTCTCCTGAACTCTCACTGATAGTTCTAATGTGCAAAAGCCTGATTGGGTGAGAAAATTCTCTTCTCATGAGCAGTAATAGTGCAAGTAAGACAAAACCACAGACATGCTGTTTCTTTAAGGAGATATTTAAGAACGGAGCAGCCAGACTTAGGACCAGGCTTGATGCCTGTGAAGCAGCCATACGGGTTACTGGGCGGGTGGGTGACTTGTAGTTTCTTTTTCTCCTGTATACACTGTTCTTCCCAAGACTGCCTTTCACACCAACTTCTTGCCAGAAAGGGTTCTGCAACCCTTTTTATAATACAACCCTAGTGTGTTAGAACACTTCGTGTCCATAGGCACCCTGATACATTCAGTCCACGATCCTGTAGTTTGAAATTGAAAAATCCCACTTTTGGAGGGGGAAAAATGTACATGGCATCATGGAAAAATATAAAAATTGTTTTGAAATAGACCTAAAATGTCTGTGAAGGCTGACTTGTAGCAGGTGCCCTGACCCTTCACTGCTCCCACCTGAGTCGGGGAGACCGACTCTCCTCCGCTTCTGAGCTCGCGCCTGACTGATCTGAGTAAACGACACACTGGGAGCGCAGCAGTTTGCATGTGGCTTTGTGCCTTTATTTCAGCAAAGAAAGTATCCCAGCACTGAACTTACCAGAAAACAGTGCAGTAATATAGTTAGGAGAGATTATCATGTTAGCCATTTTACTGATAAGAAGCAAGAAGCCAGAGAGGATGGAGTTCACTCAGTTACACTCCAGTAACAAACCAACCTGGACCAGAGTCCAAGTCTCCAGATTCTTAGACTCTTCTTAGTTTATCAGACCATATTAAGACTGTATCAAGTATGTAAATGTTACTGCATGGACTTTTAAAATTTATCTTTGGCTGGCCCAATTTTATTTATACTTGTTTTTGATTCTATTAATAAGTAACTGAAGTGATCATATATGTGAAGTGTATGTAAATTAAGATACTTAAGGTTGAGGAACTGAAAGTTGAGTTGATTTATGTACTTTTGACTGACTTTGAAATGTTACCAAGTGCCTTCTGAATGACCAAAATGACTTTTTGTGTTTGGTAAACAAAGAAGGGAAGGTGGTGGCAAAAAAGGTTTTAATTACTTGCCTCAGTATTTGCTGTCGTAATTAGAAAGATTCATATCTTTAAAAATTTCACTTTTATTCTAAAATTTTGTCTTTAAAAAAATCTATATTTATAGATTTTTCCTATAAATAAGTAGCCTTTTGAAAAACGTAGCCAAAATATTGAGACAAGAATTGCTTTGTTGCATTGGCCTTAATTCCTGACTTTGTCTCGTTCTAGGTCAGCTCCATTCAGAACCAAATGCAGTCCAAGGGGGGCTACGGGGGCGGGATGTCCGCCGGCGTGCAGATGCAGCTCGTGGACACGAAGGCCGGATAGCGCCCCCTCCAGTGAGTACCTAGGGCTCCGAGGTGGCCGACAGCAAGGCAGGGCGGGGAAGAGGCACGGCCGACGGACCCTTGAACGCAGGTTTGAACTGCAGAGGTCCACTTGTGCACGGATGTTTTTCCGCAAATACTATAAATGTATCTTCTCTTCTCTGGCTAACTGTTGGAAGAATACAGTATATAATTATACGTACACAGGGTACCGTCAACCAGCTGTTACTGCTAAGGCTTCTGGTCAACGGTGGGCTGTTAGCAGTTACGTTTTGGGGGCGTCAGGAGGCACAGAGTTTTCACTCTGCTGAGGGAAGGGCATCAGTACCCCAACCCCAGCGTGGTTCAAGGGTCAGCTGTATTTTGTTCTCTTACAAAAATGGTGAACAAATGGCAGAAGTACTTTCACTTGGCCGAGTGTTTCAGGTGACGGCCACAGGCGTGGCTGCCGGTCGGCGTGGGCATCAGCGTGTGGCGGCCCCGCCCCTCACGGGGAGGCCCGGACTGAGGTTCCAGTGACAAGTTCCCATTTTTGTGTCCTTTGAACAAGAGTAAATTATTATTTGAGTGTTGATACGGCACAGAATCCTGTGTAGTGATTTTATATTTAACACCCTGCTCTTGATAAACCTTTCATAATCAGCTTTTTAAAAGGATGAACCCTTGAAGTATAAAATAATTTGGATTCTTCTTTTGGTTTTATAGGTCATTGTGAATGTTCCCTCTATTTTCTTTAATTCTTTTTTTTGTTGTTGTGATTGCTTTTTTCAAATACAAAAAAGAAGTGTGATGGCGTCGTGTCCCTCCTGTTGTGGTTCCTCCAGCGAGACGCCACTGTTCCGCCGGAGCGGCCGCCGTCAGTGTCCCCCGCCTTCCCCAGCGGGCACGCGTGCCCTTGGACTCATGGATGTAGTTCCTTACATCGTGGCTTCAGTTTTTATCAACATGGATCTGACCTTAGCATGATCTTTGTTTGTGTGAATGCTAGCACTATTTTGCATCTTTCTTTTTAAATATTTCTCTTTCCACCTGCCTTATGATTTTATTGGTAAGCAAGGACCTGCTATTATTTGTTAATTTGTCACCATTTATGTATATTTTGGAAGGTATGAGACCCACAAGCACAATGCTCATTTTTATTCATTTGAAACTTCAGCAGAATAGGTATCTGCATGCTTTATGAAGTTGCTACATGTGGGGAGCCCGTGGGCTGGTGATGCTGCTGCTGCTGCTATTAGAGAAAGGTTAGCCAAGCCACACCTGTGCACACAAGAGGGAACGTGTAGCTTGTTAGAAATGACTTTTTGGTCTATTTAGTTAGACTTACAGTAAAAGGAGAGCTTGCATTCATAAGGCCTGGCCTTCCTTCTGTTGTAAATGTTCACTCTATTTATTTTGTGAGCGAGGACCTGGGAGTGTGAGCAGGCGTGGCTGCGTCATCGGACAGACAGCCTCGCCGTTGTCTGAGCAGCAGCAGCTCAGGCGAGGTTCTTTTCCTTGTGTGCTCAGTCTATGCCTACTTGTCTTGATTGTGTGATTAATGTTATGGTATCCAGTGGCAGTTTGTTGACCTTCTGGCCTTTCCATACTCTGCATATTTTGGGGCAGGGGGGGTGGCCCAGAGCAGCACACTGACCTGAGTCATTGCCCCGGAAAACAGTCTGTCTGGTGACTGTGGAATTTGTGAGAAAAACCTTTGCTTCCAAAATCTGTTTATTCTTCAACCAGGTAGTGTTTTGCATTTGTGCTAACTGTAAATCCTATGTCCACTTCTGACTTGATGTGGCCGGGTTGACATTTCACGAAGTGAATGGGGCTTCGCTGAAAAACTTACAGAGTGCTAAGGAATGGAAAGTGATCATTTTTTTTCTTTTCTTTTTATTTCTTCCCCTTAGTCCCAAGTTCTTGTGAAAAGGTAACTGAATAAATACTAGGTTTGTGTAGGCAAAACACAGAAGCATTACTCCCCGGTTCTTCGGCATCTGGCTGGCGCAGTACAGGTGGCACTGGGTCCCTCAGTCCTTGTGCTTCTGCAGGTTAGAGCCTTCACGGTGGGGGCGGGGGTCTCCAACGAGAGAGAAGCTGTCAAGGAAAAACATTTATGCTTAGTAGTAAAAACTGGCATTTTGCAGCTTAATAACTTCTGAACTTTAATTCCTCTGGTGTCATTAATTCACTGTGTGGGTGCTGTGCTCTGGCATTCACTGGAGAGCGGGTTTGCACCATCCCCCTGCTCAGCCAGAGCCCTCCTGCCAGGGACGCTGCTGTGCGCCAGCCCTTCAACCGACAGGCTGGACTTTCTTGACGTGCTCAGCACTGGTGCCACGTAGCCTACTTCTACTTTGACTTTTAAAAATTAGTACAATTTTTATATTCGTCATTTAACCCCTGGAACAACCACCCAGGGCACCATGGTCCCTTTCTTGATTTGATTGTATTTTCCAGTTGCTTTTTTTTCTGCCTTTCCAAGGACCAAACGCTCAGCGAGCGCTGGAGCGTGTCTCCATGTGACCCAGAGGCTGCGCTGTGCAGCTCTGCCGACTTCACAGGCACGAGTGGGCACACGCTAAGGTGCCAGGAAATTCAAGAAGAAAAATTCTTCAACCCAAAATTCTAAGATACAAACTTTGGACACAGATCTTTCCGAGTGTGGAGGAGCAGCTTTTCCATACTCACAGGTGGGATTGTGAATCTTGGGAAGTCATTTGGTCCCTGTGGCAATGCATCTCTTCTTAAAATTGAAGCTAATTAAATAAATAGGATAGACTGTTAATACTTTTTTGAAATACATGCTAATAACTGTTAGGCAAGGGAAAAATGAATGAAGGTTTAGCTAACGACAGGGAGTCTGTCATCAGTGACCTGCATTCCGACAACAGGTGCTTCCCGTGGTCCGGGCCCGGGACGGTGCCTGTGAGCAGAGGCGGAAACGGTAACTCTGGCGATTGGTCAGCGTTTCCAATGCAGCACTATCCGTGGGCCTTTAAAGATACTTTGAGAGTATATTAGCTTTCATTTTGTTATTAAATTATAGCAGTTTCATTACAGAGAGCAAGTTTGCCTTGATTTTGTTTAAAATGACCTGCTCAGCACCCAAAAGATAAAATTGACATATTTTTATAATATAAGCATACTTTTTTTTTTGTACATTGTGTTCATTCTTGAATAAAGTGAGTTCAGTGTTGGCTTGTAGATATTAAAAAGAAAGTATTGATTCAATAAATGTTTTCTTTCAACCCTGGTTTGGTTTTTCTTTTGGTTTAGCTTTTTTCTTTCAAGTTTATGTACCAGAATTCACTTAGAGCAATTTTTTAGCATTCTTATATCTTCCATTAAGACTAATGCCATGCAGAAATAATTGATCATTTTTCCCTTTTAAAGACAATTTAAATTTCTAAATTTGTAATCTTTAACTTCAACTTACTAAAACACATTTCTAGTCAAAATGAACCTTAAATGTTTGGAAATAGGACTTGTTGAAACATCCCTTTTCTTCAAATTTTCATTGCCTGGCAACATCACAGATGATTTTTAACAAAGGAAGCAAATGCCTATTCAGTTTTCCATGCTGAAGCAGTTTGTCCTCACAATATATGTAGGATTTAAGTAAGTTAAAGTTAAGAATTCTTAGCCATACTGGCCACATTTCAAGTGTTTAATAGCTTCATGGAACTGTCAGCTGCCACAGGTGACAGCTAGGGAACCTTTCTGTCATCATGGTTTGGGCAGGTTCGAGTTTGTTTCTAAAATAGTTTGGGGCAAATCTGCCCCCAAGGACCATTTGGCAGTGTCGGGAGATCTGTTGGTCCTCACAATCTGAGGATGAGGATGGGGGTGCAGACACTGATTGGACGTCAGGACCGGGGAGCCTGCTCACTGCCCGTGCGTGGGGCACAAGACGACCCCCGACCGAGGCGCATCCGGCGCCAGCCTCTCAGGGGCCACAGCTGAGAAGCCCTGGTTGTAGAACAAGGAAGCGCCCCGTGCTCACTGAGTGCATCCCGTTAGGCTGGCGGGTAGGTTTTTCTCCTGTATCATGAGAATTGCTACACACTATTCTAAAACAGAAAAATTGATGAGAAAAATATTAGAAACGGTAAGACATCCTAATTAAGAAAGTACCTGAAGGAGCTCGTGTTTATGTATCACAAAATTGATTCTGGGCATGTTTTCCGAGGGCATGCCCAAAAAGTAGGACCAATCTATAAAAATAGTGTCAGAGTTTGGACTTTGCTAAAACTTAATGAAAATGCAAAAACCTACAAAACAGACAAGGAGGAAATTACATCCTCTTGTTAAAATAGGATTTTAGCTGACTGAAAGAAAACAATTGAAATTTTACCTTCAGTTTATCGTCTCCATCCAGAATGGTCCAGCAAGAGAACTTAAACCATTAAATGACTCACGTTAACCTGACTTTTTATATTTTGGCACCTTAACATTTAGTTTTTATGATGTTTCCAGGACAATGCAGTTTTGTTTTTTAAGTGCTTTCTGCCAGATACATGCAACTTCTGGGCTCCCGTTCATCTTGAGCCACATCCTTCTAATAGCACCTTAAAGTTTTCTATCTGGCCTGCCTTTGATGCCTAGGAAAAAGTTACTTCCTGAATAAGAAGATCCCACTGTTTGAAGGGACCCCACAGCGGTTGCTGAGGGTAGTGGTCTTGCTATCGAAGACAGGAGATTTCAGTCTCATCGGAAGGTCAGAGCAGGAGAGTCAGGATAAAGTCTGATTCTGACCCCCAATTTTGTCTTGTAAACCCAAGCTCCAGAGTTCCCCAGAGCTTTGTGGCAAACACTAAAACTCAGTGTTCAGTAGCTTTAGACAAGTAAGGGCACTGATGGCCTGCCTCAGGGGCCCAGAGAATGTTCCTAGGTTATTTTTGCTCCTTGAGGGGAGGAGCAAATGAGATACATCTTCAGAGCTTCACCCTTAATACTTACTCTTAACGCACGGCACGTTCTGCCGGTGCGCTGTGCCTGGGCAGTGTTGGGAAACACTTTGGTTGCTGTTTGAGTTTCTTTAAAAATCAGTATTTTACTTTTCAGAAACAGCCCAAAAGAGGAGGTAAAAAACAAACAAAAAAAAATCTCTATTGCTTTTTGGCACAGCCACCCAGATTCAGAACTCCAAATGGAGTGATTTTTGCATTGAACGTCTTTCCAGTTGCCTGCAACGTCAATTTTTTCTATAGGTTTTGTTTCAGTTTTTGCTGCTTGGAAAGTGTTTTAGTCCATTTGAGCTGTTAGAACAAAATACCCCAGACTGGGTAGCTTAAAACCACAGACAAAGTTACCCTTCATGGTTCTGGGAGGCCAAAGTTCAAAATGAGAGTGCGGCTGGTCGGGCTGGGCCGCAGACCTGCCCCTCCCCCCTGCCCCCGCACACGGACCGGTGCTGTGGAGCTGTCTCACGAGGCACTAGTCTCACGCCTGAGGGGTACATGCATGACTCAAGTGCTCCCTCATGCCATCACCTCTGGGAATTAGGGCTGCAACCCGAACTTTGCGGGGAACAGAAGCATTCACACCATAGCCTTAAGGGGTAGGAAATGAGAGGACGACCCCTTGTAGATGCAGCCACACTGGGTGCAATGGAGCTGAGGCCACAGAGCGTCCAGACCCACAGCCTGTCAGGATCCGCCACTGTCGCAACCCCAGGAGCGAGCAGTCCGTTCTCCCTCCCCTCCTTTCCAGCCTGAGATTCCTGAAGGAAACCAACATGACATACAAACATTTTAGAAGAAAAATCACTCTGGTAAGTCCTATGTGAGATGGGAAGTTAAAGGAAATGGAGGATTCTAGGGGTACAATTTGCTAAAACTTGTAAAAAATTTTCTTTGACAAAAACAAAGCAAGGAAATGCCCTGAAAAAAATAACAAAAAAGTAATCTCTTCATTGTGTTCTGAAATTTTCAAAATTAGTTTTTGCATTTATACTTTCACACTTCACAGCCTTCAGCTGTCCTTTTGTTGTGAAGAGTATTCAGCTACAGGACAATTACATTATTGCTCTGATTATCCCTCCTCCTACTCCTCCTGAGGATTCCCAGGTTTCTCAGGCAGCAGCAGTGACAGCGAGGTCTAGAATATTGAGAGTGCGCCCCCCCCCCCTTGAACTTCTGAGAGAATATTATTTTGAACTAGTATTCTATCTACAACCAAACTCAGGTGGGATGGCAGAAGATGAACCAACCAGCAAGAAACCACTTTTCCACCCATGCTACTGGAAACACACACTTCAGAGTACGCTTTGCAAGAAAAAGTAGTCTAGTTGTATAATTAAAAGAAATCTCAGGATTTCTAGCTCTGACGCAGACCTGGAAAGCAGTCTACCCAAATTAGAGCAAATGATGAGAAGATTTTAAGGAAATTGGTTACAAGCAGCATAATTAAATGGGTACCATTTAATAGCTGGAGATTCATGCCCTCACAAAATGTTTATTGAGTGCTGCGCCCAGCCAGATACAGCGGCGAACACAGCCCCTCTATCCACCTTAGTGCTTTCCGCCTAGTGCTGTGGGTGCAGAGACAGACAGCAAGTCAAAGCAGAAAGTAATGGTAGGAAAGATCAGACGATGCTGAGGGCTCTGGGCAGACTGCTGGGGACCTGGGGGAGGAGTAACAGCTGAAGCTATGACGTGGCTTTGAGTCATTGGGATGTACCCCAAGTTCCTAGAACAGGGTCAGCCATGCAAATGTTTTGAATGAAATTTAGTAAAATAAAAAATTGCCATTTAAAAGGCCGTCTTAGTGACAAATTATTATTTAGGAGCTCATAACATTTTGGTTGTAGAGTGTATTATAGGTACATAGTTACAATAGAGCTTTAAAAAAAGCATGGAAGATTTATAGTTGCAAAACAATGTGAATTTTAGAGAAGTTGACAAAACTCAGAAGATAGTATAGCAGAAAAGAAATGGTGGAGAGTAAGTGCTAATCTCTCTATGAACTGGGAGTTCATAAAGTGCTGTGAAGGCGCATGTTAAAAATTACCCTTTACCCCTGGCCAGGTGGCTCAGTGGGTCAGAGCATCTCCCCAATATGCCAAGGCTACCAGTGTAATCCCTGGTCAGCGCACGTACAAGAATCAACCAATGAATGAGTGGAACAACAAATTGATGTCTCAAAAAATAAAAAATTAAAACCTATCTTTTAAAGTTATGAAAATAATGGAAATGAAAATGTAAAAATTTAACCATAACTGCTTTGAAGGAAAGACAAGTCTATTAGAAGCTTCACTTTTATGGTATATATAAAATCATTTGTGCAATTCAAAGTTGGTAAACCAAGAAATGAAAGTATGCCTACAGTATTTAAAATTAAGGAGATAACACTATTTGCGAATTTAAAATACAAATAACTCTAAGCAGTTATCCTTAGAAGTAGGAATGGAGTGTGTGGGAAGTGGATGAGAGACATTTTTCATATGATGCCAGTGTGTCCTGTTTGGATTTCATTTTCTTCATAATACTGTAATTTCATAGTAATAATATAAAAAAATAACATTTTAAATAAATACCAGGTGATGGCAGCAAGATAGCTGACTAAGGAGCCCCAGGCCCTTGTTTGCCCACAGAAACACCCAAGAAACCAAAAAGCTTTGTGAGAACTCCAGAAACTAGTTAAGAAGCGGCGCCAACCAAGCGAATGCACAAAGAAAAAGGCCCCCTCGAGCCGGCGGGTGGAATGGTTAGTCTTGCTGACTCAGCAGCAGTGGGATGGTGGCTCACGTGGAAGCCAGGTGTAGGCTGCTGAACACAAGCGGGCACAGGCGGTCTGCAGCCCGAGGAATACAACAGAAACTCATTCTGAGAACAAACAGGAATGAGACTCTTAACATAAATACAAACATTTAACAGCAGCTGAATTCATGGGAACTGGTCTAAAAGCACACACGCAGCCCCGGGGAAGATGCAGGCTCAGATGGGGTTGGAGGGGACTGGAGCCTTGTGGTTGGGTTCATCGGTGAAGGTCTCCCCTGTGTGACGCTGCTCAGTCAAGGCTGGGAGAGGAGCTTTTTCAAATACTTAAATCCCAACAAAAGATCGTAAGACACACACAGAGACAAACCACAGCTCATTCAAGGGCACAAACTAAATCACCAGAAACCAAGCTTAACAAAACCTCTGACTTGAGACAGAATTTAAAACTGTCTTAAATATGTGCAGTGAGCTAAATG